CATCAATTATGATTAAGAGAAAGAAAAAGAAGGCGCAAAAAAATTACAAAATCTCGAGCGAAAAAAACATCCCAAAAAAGTTCCAACAGAATGAGGTGATAAATTCATTCTCCATGATATCCCACCTTCCACCCACAATCCTTTTTCCTCTCATCACCTAATTCGGTGTTTTTCTTTGATTTTTTTCAGCCATTCTATTTCTCGTTCCCTGTAACATTATAATACATTTATCAATCCTCCATTTTGTATTAGAAAATTCCTATGGAATCCTAAGGAACACAGGAAAAAGTCATCATCATAACGATAATAACAGAAGGGAATATATATATAAATCACTGAGTAATAACAATTTACAACAGAGAATCCATTGAATTTTTTTTTCTTCTCAAGAATATATAAATTCAGGGAAGGAAATTTGCCTTTTCAATCATTCCCATTATTATCATGTTACTATTCAATCAGTTTCAATATGAACTCTTTTTATCTAACCCAACCTTTTCCGCCTCCATCCAATGATAATCTATAAAAAGATGAAGCATGAAAAATACAAAACTCCAAATGAATCAATAATAATAAATTTAAGAATTGACCTGATACTCAATGGATAGTATTTGATGAAACTTCATCGACATTCAAATTGACATAATCAAAGTTTTTTCTCTCCATATAAGTATCATCATTATCCAAATTGTTAGCATCGGAATATCATAATATGTTTGAAAGATTATCATTAGCGTGACTAGACCTGAATATCATTTGGCACAAAAAATGAAATAATATCAAATGGATTAGCAAACAAGGCCAAGTTTCGAGATAATTTAACAACCAATAAGTTAAATAGCTAAAGATTAACAGAACTTTTTCTTTCGAATATCATTTCCATCCAATCAATAACATTTTCAAATATTATTCTCTATATATATTAATTGCTATTTCTATGGAATTCAAGTGAATCATGATTAAGATGATGATGTGCTAAGTAATAACTATTAATATTATTATTATCGACTATTGATTAAAAGTGTTACCAGGAAACTTATTCAGGGTAAATCACCAGCAAGTTGCTTAGGGATAATATTAATATAATTTCAACATTTAACTTGGATTTTTTTTGTCAACCTCTCAGCCAAACTAATAACTAATCATAATTATCATGATAACTGTCATCATGTTGTGAATCTTAAGATTTCAAATTAGCTCAGTGATATAATAATAATAATATATATTGTATATGGTAGACATTATTATTGAACTTTATCAGAAAGTTAAAAATCCTATTAGAGTAAAAACTAAAACAATATTAATATCATTTAATTTGAAATTATTTTCAATTCCTGGTTCAGATTTGTTCATGAGAGAGTGAGAGAGGAAGAAAAATATAAATATTATCTCACAAATTACTAAGGTTTTTTTTCACGCTTTTGAATTATTGAGAAACTTTTAGAATTTATTTCAGGGTAAATGTGAAAGATGAAAATTTGAAAATTCAAGTATTATTCAAGTTTTCAGGGAGAAACATGAAGGAAAACGTATTGAGTTGATATACACAAGCACATGTAACAAATGCTCAGTTGTTTTTTCTTTATATTAAATGAGAGAAAGAGCAAGAAAAAAATGAGTTTCTCCTTTTCAACTTGATTCTTCATCTTCATGATTACTGGTGGGGGGATAAATGTTCAGAATATGAATATTTCTCCATGTCTCAGACTTTTTTTTCCCATAAATCAAAGTTTCTTTTCTTCAAATTAACCGTCTAAAGGTTTCCTTTTTATCTCGAACTTTTTTTGTTTCTTCCCAGACAAGAGATAATATCAAAAGATTTACCATGTATTTTAATGGACTGGATTCAGTAGTAAAAACATCATCTTGAACATTGAATATTTGTTCAGATGCTAAATTTATGGTCACTTTTTATGTAAAGTCCTCTGGCTAATGTCATCAAATAGAGATGGATGTTACCTGTAAATCTTAAGGTTTATTGACATTGTGGATATTAAGACATTAACCACAAACAACTGGAAGGAAATAATTATTTACCGTTATCCTAGAATGTTAATATTACAACATTATCATCGTTTAGGTTAATTTTAATTAGAATCGTTTCCTACTAAATTGAATGAGATGGGGAAAAATGTGAACAAAATGAATATCATCATGATAATGATAATGTTAGGGTTAAACAAAGAGTTAAAGTAAATAAGTTTGATAATTAAAACTGAAAGTGAGAGAGAGAATAATCATAAATTCAGTTGAGTGAAAATTTATCATTAAAAATATTACATGAAAAAATCTCATGGAAAAGTAAATCATAAATGTAATCAAGGTAAATGTTAAATTATCATTAAGTTGAACTTGGAAATTCAAGTAAATGAAACGTTATAAGCACTTTTTTTTGTTGCTCCAAATCAAAAGTAATTAGTTTATTATTATTATCATGTTATTGTTACTATTATTACAATTAACTAATCACTTTGTTACCTATTTGAAACAGTCAAGTTGAATCTTCAATGAAGTAATGAAAAACAAAACAATCATTATACTTTATCATGATTATCATGATAATCTGAATATTATATTGAAACAAATATTATTCAAAATTATGGATATTAAAGTTTATAAGAAGAAATAATTTATGAATAAATTGGTTGAGATGCTATTAATCAACTAGTTAATTATTAGTTATAACTAATCATTATTATCGTTTTTGCGTAATGAATAGACGCAATTAGAGATTATGATTCAATTTAATCAGCAAATTATTTTGTTTATCTTATATTAGAGATTAAATCAGGTAACAAGATTACTTTTAGTTGATTGAATGTTCATCTGATGGAAATACAGACAAACAAAGGTAACACTTTATACTAATCATTTGGAAAGGTAAAAATTGGTTAATCTGATAATGTTATAATCTGATTAGATTATGATTAATATTTGGAGTCGATAACTTATCATGTTAATAAGTGAAAAGTGTCACAATTTGCCATGTTAGTTATGAGTTGATCTCATGATCAATGAGAGAGAGAGAAATTGTCAAATGGATAAGTTTTTCTATTCATATTCATTTCTTGATAAAGTTTACATTTGGTGAATTATCAATGTATGATTATGATAATTGTTGTGATAAGTTTTCGCTTAGATTTTGAGTGATACAATTTATGAATTTATTGGAATGAAAAACTTTTTTCCACCTTATGACATTCCCATGACTATGTTTTCTTATTTATTTTTTTCTTCCTCTCTGATTATTTGGAAACTTATCACTCAGAACTTTTTACTTTTCTCTGCTCAATGAAAAAAAATAGAGAAGAAAATATTAAATGAAAGGAAAAAGATTTTCTCTTCTTTTCAGTGTTCATCTGATTTGGAAATGGAAAAAAAGTTCTGTGTTCATGAGAAGATAAAAAAATTTTGAAAGAAAAGGAAATTTTCTTATTCTTTATCATGTTAGAACTTTTCTCTCTCTCTCTCTCTCTCTCTCTCTCTCTCTCTCTCTATTCCAGATCAAATTTCTTTCTACTTCACAATTGTCAACATTTTGCATGTTAGTCAATAATTCACCTTCCATGAAGGAAGAAAAACTTTTACATGATAAAGATTCATGGGAAAATATTCAATGGTGTAAATCTTTTTCTTCTGCTACCAAACAATTTCAACTAATCAGCAATATATATTAGGCTCTATTATCATCATAATATTGAACATTATCCGATTTAAGTTCATGGAGAAAAATGGATGAATTATATGTGAGAATACATGAGGAGATCATATACATGTATCTTTATCTGAATGTATATCTCATTTTAACAGAAGAAGCGAAGGAAAAAAAATACAAGGATAATAATTGACATAAATCCTCATCGATGAATATGAATAGTATGAGTAATGAACATTTCCAATCATCATCATGGGGATACAACATGTAATCCAGGAAGAGGGGAAGTCATTTTTTTACAGAATATGAATGATTTGTAGATCAAGGCAATAATAATAAGGCAAATTAAATTCAATTCATCTCATGAAATGATGATAAATTTGATTCCGAAAATCAATGCTCAGCCCTTTGGTATTATTATCATGGTGAATGTGAACATTTTTTTCTTCCTGTAAAAAATTCATTTTCATGATAACATATTTCTCTCTCTCTCTCTCTTATATTATATCAGCTTAAAAATGATGAGATATTGTGAGACAAAATTCAATCTTAAGAAAATTGTGAATCCAGATCTGAGAGATTAACTCTTGAATAATACCTTTACCCATCAGCATGAGGAAAATTGTTCATTATATATGAATAATGAGCTATCTACTTTCACCACCCACCCCTGAAATTTCATGTAAATATAAATGTTTCAGAGTTAGAAAATTTTTGTTATGTAAATTATACAATGAGTGGAAACTGATGATTGTGATTAAGATGAAAATAAGCTTAGTTAATGTTGAAAAATAACATTTTCATATTCTAATGATAATAATGGTTATATATTTCATCGGAAAGGTAATACACATATCAGAATAATATTAATTCTCATGATTAACCGTTGACTTTTTCACTTATTCAATAATAATAATAATGAATATGATCATTATTAGTTTTAAAGAAGTAACAATTTAAATTGAATATGAAAAAATCATCATCATCATGATAATGATTGAAATTGTTAATATCTTTACAAGATGAATTGATACAAATTTCATGGTAAATATTGATTCAAATTAATATCTTTCTATTGTGTTAAACGACAAAATAATATAATATTAACTATGACGATTATGTTTTAATGATAATCAAATGTTATATGGATCATGATAGTTGTTAAATAATTGATTGGAAAAAAACTAAAAATAAATGATCAACTAACGGAATCAATGTAATAGTAAATTGAATTGGTGAATCTCTTGTATTTTTGATGATCATCAATGAAATTAAATATTAGATTATAAGATGATAATTTCCTTTTGAGGTTTTTTTTTGTTATTCTGATTATTCTGTGACTTACCTTCCGGAGATATCGATATAAGCATGAGATGATGATGTGGATTTGATTGATGGAGATAAAGATGAAGATGGAGATGAAGATGATGATGATAGAGATGAATCTTTATTTGGAAAATGTTGAGCTCGTTGGATTGGTCCTTTTCGAGCGTCTAATGAATATAATGCAGTTTCATCTTCCCCTCGAAACCATAGGATTAAATCAATTGTATCATTGTTTGGATGATCAATTGAACAGGGTAACATGGCTTTACCCTCTTCACCAGCCACCACCAAGAGTGATGATGGATCAGGATTAGTGGAGGTGGAAAGTAACTCTTCCTGTTTTCCACCGTTAACATAACTTATCTTTATTACAATGATCCCTTGTAAAAGGTAATAAGATGTTGATACTGTTGTTGGTATTGTGGTAAATGTTTGCAAGGAAAATAATGATAAACAATATGATGATGATGATGATGGAAGATTGAAGTTTATCATGGCAATTAATTGAATGATCAATGAGAAGGTAATCACTCTCATCCTGGTTAAAGAGATAATTCATCCAGAGATGTAGGGGAAAGAAAAGAAATGATAATATATTATATTTGATTCCTTATTGTTTATTGATTACTGGAATATGTGTTTAAGTTAATCAAATGTTGATGATGAACACAATCAATGTTGATTGCTGGTAAATCCATTGTTTTCCTTGTTTTTTTTTTGCTTCTTTTTCTTTGCTTTCAGATTGAATTAATTTACATGAGACATGAACTTTTTTTTTTCTTGAATTTTATCTCATGTGAACATTTGGGATTCACTTAACTAAATTTAGGAGAACACACAATTGTCATAATTAGTTGAATGTAAGAGGAAATACAATTGAAAAGTTATTTTTGGTTACACTTGGGGAATTTATTCTTGGTATGATTTCCCTTGCAATTAGGGTGACATTTTGGGTTCTCACTGGTACTTTACTCGACACAGACACGTATTCGAAAAGGATAATGATGATTATCGAGATGGCGATCGGTTTGAATATGTCCAAACCGAGACAACTAAATACACAGAGATACAGGGACAAAGGAAAGAAAGGAAAATGAAAGAGAAAGAGAAAGAGTAGGAGAGAGAGAAGAAGAATAAAGGAATAAATGAAATTCGAATTTTCTTTTTCTCAACAAATTGTTTAGAAACAGTTCAATTGGTTGAATGGATTGTCGACTGCGAGTATATGTCGATTGAAAGACGAAAAAAAAACGATAATAACAAGAAAAGTTTATTCTTTCAGAGAAAAAAAAAATGGTAGATTTTCATGTGAGAAACATAAATAAAATAGACCAAAAAAATAACCGGTAAACATTAACACTCGATATGTTAGTACATAAAAATAATTCGAGACTGAGCAACATAAATAATGTTCATCTTTTTTTTAGAACAAAAAAATTCGAGCTTCGAATGTGTCGCCATCTATTGGTCACCATATAAATTCCATTCGAAAGCATAAAAAGCATAAAGAGCTTTTTGATTTTCTAAAGAAAAAGCATAAACTGGTGGAAAACCATATGATCAGAATTTTGTTTTGTCTCTCAATTGAATTGATTGTTTATCTTCTCAGTTTGTAATTTAAATTGTTGTTGTTGTTTACATCATGTCATCTATTTTAAGATATCGAATTGTTAATCTAAGTAATCGTGGTCTATTACAAGTAACCGGATCGGATACATTTCCTTATATTCAAAGTGTAATCACAAATGATTTAAGGTCCGGAGGTAAAATTATCTATGGTACATTTTTAAACGCTATGGGTCGGATTTTATTGGATTTAATGGTTTACAAGATTAATGGTAATCCAAGTGAGAGACAATTGATGTTAAATGCTGTTGCTTATGGACGTTATGGTATTGACGGTAAGCCCGAGGATAGTTTGTTGATTGAATGTGATTATGATTTGTTGGAATCAGCGAGGAAAACATTGTTTGCTTATAAGATTCGTCGACAAGTGACCTTAACCCATGCATCGGATTACAATTTGTTTGCCCTTTATCCCGATATTGATAATATTCAAATGGTTCATGGTCATGATTTACCTAAATTGAGTGAACTATTTTCACCTGATCTAATTATTGGACGTGATCCTCGGGTTGGTTGTTTCTCTTATCGTATCGTTTCCCGGCTTGGTGGTAAATCAGTTGATTCATTGTTACCAATTTTATCTCATCATGTACCTTATCAAATTGTTGAATCAAATTTAACGGATTATATTCATTTTAGGTATAAAATGGGAATTGCTGAAGGTAAAAATGATTATCGTCCCTGTTTTGCTAATCCAAGTGAATCAAATATTGATTATATGAATGGTTTGGCCATTTCAAAGGGTCAGTTTACTGGTAAACGAGTCATTGCTAGAAATGCAATCAAAGCATCTCGTCCTTATAGATTAACACCAATTGAATTATTGTTACCAGAAAATTTACAAGATAGAAACAAGTTGAATTTTGGCTTTGGAACAAGATTAACCAGTAAAGATAAACAAAAAGTTATTGGTAAGTTAATCTGTCATAGAGGACGTTATGGTTTAGCAGTTTTAAAACCATTCGAATGTCTTAGGAATCAATTTCAATTACATCATTTGGAATCGGGTGTTGATGTCAATACTTGGTTTCCTGTTTGGTGGCCTCAACCATTACAACCAAAACATTACTATTTAACTCGAACTCAACCACAATTGACCTTGGGTCAATCAGATGACCAACAACGGAAAAGTTTAACAAGTTAATTTGATGTTCAATTAATGTAAATAGAATGCAATTATAAATTAACTAGTCGACATGTAAATTTGGTGCTAAACAAAAACCAATAAACTTTTGTAGATTGAGAGAAAACAACAGGAAAAACAATTAGAATTTTTGTTTCATCAATTTTTTCAGAAAATATTGATTCAATTGTATTAATTTGTTTTACATAATTAGTAAAGGAAATTGGAAAAGGATGAAAAAAGGTTAATTGTAAATTTTAGGTTGGGGGAAAAAAAGGTGAAATTTGTTTTAAGATGGAATTAGTAGTTGATTTAGTTGGAAGGTTTTTTCTTTGTCTTCGATTTACTAGTTGATGATGGTGTTGATGGAGGTGGTGGTGCTGGTTCGATATCCGTAGAGACACGTTTACGTCGACGAACTTCAGCTGATTCGGGATCCTAAGAATTTGATATAAATATAAGAACAATTTTAGAAAAGGTAAACCAATAATTTCAATCAAATTTTAAGCAACAATCGCATGTTGATAAAAAGATTAGCTTTTCAAGGGATTAAAAGATTAAAAAGGTAAAAGGATAAAGGTAAAAGGTAATAGGATCGGGGAGATTATACCCTGGGAGTGATTGAAAATGATGAAATGATAACTTTCCGTGTTTGCATGCAGGTTCTTGAATAATTTTCTTTCCTTCTTTTTCTTTGAACTTTCGTTTCTATTAATTCATCTTTGAATATTTTTTTTTCTCTTTTTCTCTAAAATTTGTAAATTGACTTTCTTACATGAACATCTGATGATGTTGACACATTACTCCTTCGTCCTCTTGGTTTTGTTGGTTCATTGGTGCTTGGTGATGTTGATTTCTGTTGAGTTTCAATGAAATCCTCGATTCCTTCGAGAATCTCTTTCTGCATTTCAACAGCCATTTGATGGACATCATGGTCAACACTATTGTACATTATCGCATTTTGAAACATTAACATCATATCTCGCTGGAATTCAGCGGTCGTTTTAATTTGACCATTTTCAATCTTTTTACGAATCGAAGCTAAATCCATGGGTCTATATACAACTGTTGAATAACCTTTAGCTTCACCATCGGTAACTGGATGAGCGAAAAGTGTTGAAAATTTATGGGTTGACGCTTGTCTCCAGAGAAGCATGATTGATTTTTTCCACATTTTATATTCTTTTTGATTTTCAATCTCTTCGGCTGTTAGAATAGCACTAGCTGGACTATTGGGAGCTGATTCGGTGACTGAAGATGCTTTACTTGTTGGTGCAGTGGTTGAAGCTGAGGCTGGTTGTTTAATTAGTGTTGGAGGTAAAGTGATGTTGGTGTTGTCAGTTGATTCTTCACCAGCAGAGTTTTCCGTGCTAATGGAAAGAGGTGGCGGTGGAGGCGGGAGAACCGAGGGAGTGGATACAGAGGCTTTTTTACCGCCAACAGAGGAAGCGGCAGCAACTGTGACAGTAGAAACCAAAGGTGTGACATTTGTAGTATCAATGGTAACTGTGGTGGCCATTGAAGTTGTCACTGGTATTGTTGGAGTTGTTGTTATTGTCGATGTTGTTGTTGTTGAACTAGTGGTAGTGATGGTAGGGTTAGCAGATGTTGTTGTTGTTGTTGTTGTTATAGTTGCTGTAGTAGAAGTGGTTGAGGAGGTTGTTAGGGTGGAAATTGAACTTGGTTCTTCAACTGTATTTACTATCTGTTCCTCTTCTGAGCTTGTTTTATCCTTAATTGTTCTTACTCGGTTAGAACGACGAGTTGGTACTGTCGAAGGGGTTGTAACAATTGGCGTGGGTCGTTTACGTTTACGAGAAGCGGCTGATAATGTGGTTGAATTGTTAGATGTTGAAATCTTTGAATCCGTTGGTGTTGATGGTACATTGTCAGTATCTGTTTTTGTTTCAATCTTAATATTTTTAGAATCAATTTCCATACAAGTTTCTTCATTTGATTCTTTGGGCTCAATTAATTCTTGTTTAATTTCAGCAGTAATTTGTTCACTTGGTGTACTGGAATCAACAGGACTTTCTTGAGAATATGATTCAACAACACTATTGATCACTTCTACTATTGATGAAGTTACTGATGATGTTGTTGGTTCAGTTTCATTTTTAAGATTCAGATCTATGGTCACAGGTTTATCGTTAATGGTTGATTGTGAAGACTCATCAACCTTGGATATATCAACAATTTCATTTTCTATCACAGTTTCAATGGTTGTCTCAGCCTTGGTAGTTTCGTTATCAATTTTCTCTGGTAAAGTGTGAACATCTTCCGTCACTTCTGGTGCATCTTCCTTGATTTCAGTCATCTCAATATCTTGTGATGAAATTTCCTGTGATTCAGTTTCCTTTGAAGTTGATAAAATGGCTTTAACTGATGAGGTTGTGGTTGGTGATGTTTCCAATAGTTTACTAAGAGTTGGCGATGATATTGAAGCAGAGGGAGATGATAATCCGCTGATTGGTGTTGATGAGGGTTCAGGAATCTCTTTAACTGGTGATTTGTTTTCTTCGATTGTCGATGAAGGTAATTGTTCAGTTGTTACATTTGATGTAGATAATGGAGTCATTGGCCTTCTTGGTAAAGTTGGTGATGTAATATTTGAAGGGAAAAAATGAGTTGAAGATGGTGGAGTTTTTTGTTGCATATCTTTAAGAGTTGAAGGTGATAATATGTTATAAGGAACAGTTCCACTGGCGGAAGGTGATGGACTTTGTAATAGATGAGTAAGTAAAGGTGATGTGGAAGGTGAAGAGATAACAGGTGAAGGGGTGATCTTTGTTTTTTCTGGTGTTTGTGGTGTTTGGGGTGTTTGTTGAGGTGCAATTGATTGTGTTGGTGTATGAGGAGCAGTTGATTGGGAATTATCAGTGTCCGTTGAAGGAGGTTCAATCTTGACAGTTAAAGGTTCAGATGATTTATCTGGTGTCTCAGATTTTGATTTGAAATCACTTTCAGCAGGAGAAGTGGCTTGACTTAATTTCGCTGATGATTTGGGTGATTTAGGTGATCGAACCAGTACCAAGTGACGTTTAGCCAACATTTGAGCGATCTTTTCCTCTCTTTCGGCTAACCATTTCTCGTGTTCTTCTGCAGCGATTTCTTTTTCTTTTTCTTCTCTTTTCATTCTTTCCCATATTTCTCGATATTTATCTACAGTCGCCGAACCGGACTTGACGAAATCCAATTCATCTTTTAACTCAATACATTCCTTCTTCTCTTGTGTTAAAATTTCTTTTAGCTCTTGAATTCGTTTCTGTTGAAGCTCAAGAACAATTAAATCTTGAGCAGTGTTCTCTCCCCTTTCTCCTCGTTTTCGTCTAGATTGATAAAAAAAAGAGAGGAAAAAAAAGATAAATTTTTTTTTAAACTTTCGAAAACAAATCATCAGGAAAAGAAGAGAGAAAATCATTGAAACGAAAAGTATGATAAAGAAATGGCAAAGGTCAACATTGAAGAACAAAAAAAGGATCAAGAAAACGTAAAAAGAATTAAAAATTATTCTTACTTTGGTGTTTCAACATTTTCTAAAAGTTCTGAGTATTGAAGTGCACAATTTTTCTGAGAAAACCAATCAGCCGGTCTATTTGGTTCAGCGAAACATTTAAGTGATCGAGAAACAGAATACCTGTTAATTTAGATGAATTGAAATGTATTTAGAATTTTTGAAGGAAAAAAAAAGAATTCAACACGATGAGAAAAAGAATAGAGAGAAAAGTTACCAATTTTGATCGCCCGATCGGTGGACTGAAGAAGCGAGAGCCAATTTTTCTCGAATAGACCATTTGTCGATCGGAGTTTGTTTCAATCTAAAACCAGGACGAACAGTTGAAGATGAAGGTGTACCTCGACCGGATTGTGGATTGGATAGTGTGCTCATCGAAAATTGGAAATAGAAAATTCTAAACTCGAAAACCGATTTACAAAAACAAAGAGACAAATTGATGAAAGGAACACACAGTTCAAAACAAAAGAAAAAAAAAGAGAGAGAGAGCGAAAGACACAAGAGAAAAGGTGGAGAAAGTCAAACACCAGAAGAAGAGAAGAAGAAATAAAAAAAAAAAAAAAAGAGAAAGAGATAAAAGGAGGGAGAGACAGAGAAAAGAAAGAGAGATGACAAGAAATAACAGAGAGAATTAGTTTACATGTGTAAAGATGACAAGATATTTAAAGGGAGAAATTAAGTTTCACAATCAATTTAAACAGTTCCATTAATTTCCAAATTAAAGTTAAATCAATTAATTACAATTAAGTTGTTGATCATTTTCAAAAGAAAATCTTGAAACAATTGTTACAAGAGAATCACTTTCAATGGTAAGAGAAAAGAAAGAGAAAAAAAGAGAAACCGAATCTCCAATGCTCGCGAAGTGTCGCCATCTGGTGGGCTCGAATTTAATTCGAAAACGAATAGTTGATCAGAGAGTCAAGAGATGGAGCCACCAGAGCAGAAGAAAATTTCAACAATCAACTAATTGTATTCGGATGGACAATTAATTGAGTGAACATTCATCAGGAGAATGAGATTCTCCTATTTAACTGTATAATTGTTACTTGATGATAGAAGGGAATTAAATTACTTTCAATTGAACTTTTCTTTTAGATTATCATTGGAGTTTATTTATGTAGTTAGTTAATTGTTGTTATTACATAAAAGGGTTTCAAATGATTTGATTGAATTGTTTACTATCATTATTATTATTTGTACACTTATTTACAATATAATTATAATTTAATATAAAAAAAGAAGAGTCAATTATCACAGAATTGCTGTTAATCATTATCAAGAATCAATTGTTTCAATTGGTTTATCCTCCATTTTTATGGGTCCATCAGGCAGAAATTTAAAACTTTATATTACATTAATTGTGTAATCATTTGAACAATTAGATATTTATGATTGACAAGAGGAAAAGAGAAAGAAATTAAATTTAGAAAAAGTTGATACAAGCTCATTTGATTAAAACAAATTTCCTTTCAATTCCGTTGATTGTTTGATTTTGAGTGTGTGTGTGTGTGATTCAATTTGTGGTTTTGATTGATTATGTTATTGATTTTGGATGGAATTGGAAAAATAAAACTAATCATCTATTCAGCAAATTGATTGTTTTGTTTTGCTTTTTCTTTCCTTCTTCGCATTTACTAAACTTTTATCATGATTAATTAACTTTATTGGGTCGATTAGTGAAGTAAATGTTATTTGGATCATCAGCTAATTGTGGATATCGAACCACCGAATGATAATATTCACCTCGATATCCAGCAACCGAACCAGTATTAAGAAGTAATTCTTTCTCAGTTTCATTCCAAGGGTGATGATGATGATGATGGAAGTACTTTTCATTATCTTTATTATTATTACTATTTGACTCGATGAATCGATTAGCGCGAGTAAGGTCAACCTCTCTTGACCAGCGTTCGTTGATCGCGTGTTTCTTTGCATGTCTCAAGATACGATTTCGCTCTCGTTCAACGGTTGTACCATAGCGAATGTTGAGAATCGCTCCTTTTGTATGAATCCGAATATCAGCCTAAAAGAAAGAAAATTGAATCGAAATTTAAATCACAATCCAACACTTTAGATCAACAAATAATAAGTCAACAGAAATGACCATTTACCTGATGACCATTCTTGTGTCCACTTTTAGAGGAGTCTGTTGATCCTCCATGATCATCCTTAATCTGATCACTAAAGGTAACATTGATTAGATTACCTAATCGTTGTAGTTGAATTTGATCATCTCGAGCCTTCCAATGATTAGGCTTAACAAAATAGAAAGCATCTTGACCCTTAAAGATTAGATGGACATCTAGAAGGTGAGAATTGTTGAAAACTTTGGTATAAACATCTCGACGAATTGGATCAGAATCGGAAGAACCCATGACAATAGTTTTACCATCAATCGAATACAAAGTAATTCCATAACCAAATGGTCGACTTTCAGTGGACATTTTGGTTATTCGTCCATTTTCAAGTAATTCCTCTGATTTTATCTATTTATCGATAAAAGGAAAAGAGAAAAAGAAATCAATTACAATTCCATCCAATTCGAAGATACTAAAAAAGAATCCAAGTTAATACAATAATCAATTCGAGTAAACAATTTAAATTCACATTCACATTTCTTAGATTATTATAATATCATTTCCATTCCATTGAAAGTTCATTCAGTCAATCTAATCAAATCAATTCCATCCTGTTAATTACAATACAATCTAAATTCTTATTCTTCTTTTGCCTCCCAACTATTATTATTACTTTTTTTTTCCCTGATAATTTGCAAGACAATTTGATCAGAAATTAATTGCAATCAAATGAATACATTGAATTGGTTGTTCTTTGCACTGAGGAAAATCAATAACAATCCAAACAAGTGAAAGAAAAAAAAAAGAAACTCATTGAATTTAATTGAAGAGAATGAAAAATAATTCCAATCTTAAGTGTTAGTACCTTTACTCACTGGAATGGGAATCATCATGTTGATTCAATTTTCATGAGATTAAAATTTTAACCAAATGTTGAACATTGATTATCATGTAATTTCAATTGTAAACTCCTCATGAAATGTTCATCATCAACATTTTATTGTAATATATTGTTACCTTGTCTATTGTTATCTAATATAATTACAGGGTTATCCGATTTCCCATCATCATAATCATGGAAACACAATTTTAATTCAATTGTTGAACTTTTTCTGTTCATCCCATTATCTTGGCATTTTATATATATTATTCACTCCATCAACTTGAAGTAAACTAATATAATCATGAAGATGATGAACAATTCAAATTATTTACAATTTGTAATTGTTTTTTTTTTCCTTCAATTTCACCCTGAATCTGATATAATTTCTTGGAATGAGAGTTGAATGTAGATTGTGAATTTCTCATGAAAAGGAAAACAAATGATTAGTTGACAGTTTCCTCAGAATTTTTTTTTCATTTCATTCTCTTTCCATGTTATCATGAAATCGAACAATAATTTCAAAGATAAAAGGTAAGAACATTGATTTTCCTTCGATGAGCTAATATATTATAAGGGAATTGTTTACTTTCCCTGTCAATTAAATTGAATTGGGAAGAAATGAAAATCGCCCTCAGGGTTAATTGTTATCCCTTTTCAACCCTATTTTCCCTTTAAGCTGATCATAAATTTCATTGCTCTACTTTAATCAAATTGCTTGTAACCTTTTATTTCAATTTAGTTCTGTATTTTTCTGACTTTAATTACATTATATTCAATGTTCAACATTGATTTGATTTTCCAGAGCAATAAAATGAACGATAAACAATCAATAGGAGATCATAAAATTTTGCTTCGAGTAATATTAATGATCAAGAAGCGTTAATTGATTAAATTAAATGGTATAAATGATTAACTATTATTTACCTTTGATTTTCGCATGAATGAAAAGGTTGCAAAGTTTCTGGTATTCCGTTGAACTGAACACCAGAATGCTGAAAGAATCGGTACTGTGGGCAGTTCGAGTGACGATAAGATCACATTGGGAACATGAGATAGAGCGTCAAAGGTATTGTAATAAAGGTTAGAAGATGTTAAAGGTGATTGACTTGGACCTTGGTCAGTAAATGAAAGTGGACCAAGAGCAAGAGTCGATGATTGTAGATTTAAACCTTGATTAGAGCGTCGGGAATTGGATGAACCTCGATTGATTAACATTTGTCCACCAATATCGAAACCACTAAGATCTATACCTTGATGTTGAATCCAACGATTTAAATTTAATCGGGTTGATCTTCCATCACCTAATCCAGGTTCAGGATTAACTGGGTCATTTTGCGAGAATCGATATAAATTAAGTGCAAGAGGATCTTTTAAATTGGATAAAACTCCAGCCCAATTGGGTGTTAACCATTGACCGATAAGTGAATCGTAAATATAATGACCATGGAAATGAATTATTCCCGTTACTGGGTCCGTTAGTCCACCATGGAAACCAACGGGCAGATAAAATGTCGGATTCGAGTCAAAAAGTACATGACCATAGGGCCCTCGATGAATCTCCTTGATAACATCACCCCTATGGTCAAACACGAGTAAAGGTGAACCAACCTGATCACAGGTAATATAAAAGGTTTGATGATTGATCTGAACGGAAAGTGGAATCCCGATATCATCATAAACCAATGAGGTTATCGTACCATCAGCGTTATTGAACATATGGGTTACCAGGTAAGGTCTTTCAATGTCACCGTAAAAGTATTGGGTCAAATTGCCAAAATTGTCTTTACGAATAGTTAATCGACCCCTTGAATCGTACAAGTAACTTATATCATATCGACCCGTTCGATAGGCCTGAAGTAAAAGTCCAGCGGTATTGTAAACTAAACGCTCTTCACCTTTAGAGATGAAATAACCTCTACCATCGGTTGTGTATGGAGTATCTCCGAACCTGATGACCCGGTCACCCGAATCGTAGGCAATATCGATTCTATTACCCATATATTGAAGAGTGACCAGGTTACCATTATCATCGTAGGTAAATTTCCACTGATCGCGACCTGAAACTTCAATTAATTGCTCGTCATAATCATAAGTGTAATTGGAAACTCGTACTTTAGATGCACCCAAATGTCTCATGAAAGTTTTCGTTGTGATTATCGCTCCATTTGGATTATATAAAAGGTCCATTCGATAGACCTCTTTGTCTTTTACCGTTAGCGACATTTGTCTCAGCTGGTGAGTCGATGAATCGTAAATCTTTGAAAATGTAGCAACACCATCGGTAATTAGAGATTCATTTTGATGATGTTGATAATCGTGATGATCGTGAACACGAAAATGTCCAATAACCTCAAGTCGACCTGTTTTCATATTATAAAGTGTCTCGTGGACAGGTAATGCCACGGAAGGTAAGGCTGATGAGGAAATGATTCGAGCACCGATCGCCCTTTTCCGGCCAAATTCATCGTATTCATAAGTATACTCAAAATTGGACAAATGGGAATAAGTTGACGTTAATTTCAATGAAATTTTGGTGATCAATGAATTAGTATAAGTGTATTGAAGGGTCACTTCATTTGCTCCCTCTGACCAAGTTTCACTGATCAATAGTCCATCACTATTGGAATTGGTTGATTCATCTTTCAGGTCATTTCGATGTCGATTTAATCGAGATGATTTAGATTCTGATTTCCATGGTTGAGAGTAAACTTTAGTAACTTTACCTCCACCATAGACAATTTCAGTTAATTTTTCTCTCTCATTGTAAATATAAATGATTCGAGATGAATCATCTGGAGCAATTTCCATTAAAGGTTTCAGATTATCATCAAAGTACAGGGTGTAAGCTGAATTTCTTGGATACCCTGGGGGAGTATAAAGTAACTTATAGAATCCAAGAGAGATTATTAATGTTGTTCGATGTTCATTTCTTCGAGGTGTGACAATTTTCTTGAGTCCACTTCGTTCATCATAATGGTAATGATACTGTTTACCACTTCGTAAGGTTATTCGTGAAGGTCTTGATCGACCAGTCTCATCGTAACCATATTTGATTGACGTTGAATCGGGATAACGAATCTCCGCTAAAAGGCCATTTCGATCATAAAGAAAAGTCTCCGATACCGATGAACCTTGTTGCCAGCCCGCTAATCGTCCATATCGATCATAGATCACATTAAGGGGTAACCGTGTCTCTGTGGGTAACCACTGAATGGGTCTAGATGAGTTATCGTATTGAACAGAAAGGAAAGGTCGACGGGAATTGTTGTACAAAATTTCACGATTACCATTACGATCATATTCCAGTGAAAGATATTGAGTATCGTTAATATAAAGAACCCGTTCAATGGTCAAAATGTTTCCTCCAAGTGTAGAGATCGAAGTGCTCGAAGGTGAAGTAGATGATGATGACGATCCACCATTTATTTGACCTGAAAGTCCGTTCATAACAATTGAACCATTTCGACCTGTTCCCTTAAAGTTATAATCCCAACTAATCGAGGCGAGACTTGAGGTATTATACTTGAAGGGGTCAAGTCAAAGGGCGATAAAGGTGATGCCGAGGGTTTCAGAGCAAAATTGACCTGCCGATTGAGAACTGGAAACATTCCCGCTTGAACTGGTATAGTTTGAAGTAGTACCTTGTGTGGTGATGATTCCCAGAAAATACCCTGTCTCCATGGTGTAATCAGTGCAATTGATTTATCTTCATGAAGTGTCACCCTAAATTGATTACCAGAATGTAAAACTAAAGCTGAATCACGAATTATTTGAACCATTAAATTATCATGATCATAAGAGTTGAGTGTAGATTTTGATGAATCTAAATGAAGTAAATTGGTTCTTGCTTTTAGATATGAACCTTGATGATTAAAATCAAAGGTAATGGTGGTCAGTGATCCAGAAGGTTTGACCAGTCCAGATAATCGGCCAGCGGGGGAATATTGATAAAAGTAACAATATCCCGATGAATCTGAACGTGAAACCAATAAACCGGTAACCGAATCATAAGTAAATCGTATAGTTAAATTATCTGGATCATTAAATGTTTCCAAAAGACCTTGATTGTTAACAGTTACTCGACATTTTTGACCAATCGCAGTTTCAACTGAATGTAAACTGTTAATTGAATCACGTAAAAATGATACCTTAGAACCAGAAGAATCTGTTACCGCAGTTAATTTACCAAATGAAGTATTTACATCATACAAAAAGGTATGTAAAGATTGACCAGTTAATGCATTTCGAGTGCTAATATGTTGACCATACTTATTGAACAGGTAAAGCTCATTGGTCTCAGGAGATGCTATGGTAAATAATAGAGACTCATCTGGACCAGGGATGTAAGGAACAGCTGATATTATCTGGTAGGTCCCTTCATCTGCAACATGGACAACACCATCACTGGTAATGGTCATCGCAGTAATTGAGACCAAGGGTGTGTCACGAGCAAGAGCTGGACGAGAAGTGGACGATAACTACAATAAAAAAAGTGTAACCAAGAGATACAATTAGAAATACAGTTTGGATAAAGTGAAAGTCTAATAATCATTATTGAAATTGTTTAATTGATTGATAAAGTTCAATATTTCCCCTCCTCATTTACAATTGAATCTTTTTCTTTGTGAAAAAAATTATTGATCAATTTCATCAAGTCAATGAATCATTAATCATGGATAGTATTATCTGAACATTACTAATAAATGTTTTCAAGCTACTGGTCAAATTGTTCAATTCATTTATTGTCCTTTTAATTAATTCAATTGATTTTGTTGATAACAATTGATAGTCCAAGATGAAAATGGTAAATAATACAAAAAATTGAAACATTTTCTTCCAGTTACCATGTAACTGTTTCATCTGAAATCAATTCCAGTTCTGAGTTTGCCAAGAAAATGCTACAACCCAAATATTGATCTAGTTTTTTTCCTTTCTCTCTCTCTCTCTCTCTCTCTCTCTCTCTCTCTAACTTATTCTTTAACAAGTAAAGTGATTCAGCGAAAGAGAAAGAAATTCTGGTTTCTAATCATGATAAGATTCAATGTTCATGTAAAAATAACTTTTCTTATTCTTTGATAACCAGAATGAAACTAAACAGATTTTATATATATTCCATTGAGAAAATGAGTTCTTATTACACATCAATTAGAATCAATAATTTTAATAGTAAAAGAGAAGAGAAAAATAAACTTAATTCCAATCGGAATTCATCATAAATCATCCTGATGTTTGCTTCATTTGTTCATTGATATTCAAATTCTTGATATAAAAGTTCAAGTCAATTACTCAGAGTCTCTCTCTCTCTCTCTTTTATCAACCGTCTTCATGGAATGAATCATCATCATCATCATGATAAATGCAATAATGAGCAATCAGAAAAAAATGGAACTTTATTTTTCTTGAAAATTTAAATGTTTCATGAAGGAAAAAAAAAATCAACATCAAAAGGTAACATTAAACTTTGCGTGAATGAAACTAATAAATTGACATAGACATTAAGAGATGCACCATCATTTTCATGATAATTACATGATACTTCAGTATATTTATATAGATTGTTATTATAAATATAATGTTTCAATAGTAATTTGAATAACAAGGTGAATCGTCAATTTAACTTTATTTTTCTTTTGGTATCCATCAGTTTACTTATTTTATTATATCGAGGAAAAAAAATTCATCTATTTTCATCATTTTCAACTCTACATGAACTTTTCTTGCCTCCATTCAACTGTTCAGTTTCCAATGAAAATCCTCAATTCTCAATTTACTTTATCCTCATATATCACCTACAATAGAAACACTCTCAGTCTTGATAATATTTTCTCATCAACAGTCAATTCAATATTGATTTCAGTTCATTATGTCCATGTGTCTACCTGGTACCTGCTGTACCCATGGTCCTACGTGTCTCATTGAATAATTCATTGAGCAATCTGTTTGAGTATCCTGGAAATTGAATAACATTAAATACTGAATATATTTCCTACAAACTGAAAGATTGGAAAATCTAAATTCTCAATGAAACTAAACATTAACATGATTATTATTACATGTAGTCTATTATGATACTCAAAGGTTCACAATGTTCACCTCGAAACTTTTTCATTCATGTCAAAAGTTTTCACTCAACAATTGAAAGGTTAAACCGATGAAATTTAAAACTAATCAACCATTTAACATTAATGATATTAGTTAAATTGTTGCATCATCAAAATTAACTTTACTTCCTGTATTCTAATTAAAATTAATATATAATCAAGTAAAATTGATCGATTCCCATTCATCTATTAGCATTTAAATGAGTACAATGTATTAATCTAATATTTAATTGAGATTCTCCTAGAAATCATTATTATTATCAATCAATTGGATATCTCATTAAGTTTCACTTTCATCAAGTATCATTAATTATATGATTCATCAAGATGTAACATAATCAATACTTTAATTGAAATAGTTTTACCTGCTTCATGATAAGTTTTTGCTGGATTATCGGGGAGATTAAGGAAACTTTCATCTTATTCATTTTCTTTTCACCATCATGAAGGAAATTTTTTTTCTCTTCCACCGAGTTCTGGTAATAATAATGACGATAATAATAATATTGAAACAGAAAATGATTACTTTCATTCAGTTACTTTTGTTACTAATTATTTCTCCCACTGAAGCCGTCAAATAGATTCAATAGATTAAGCTGATCATGGATGATTATGATTGAAACTGTGATTCCAATTTTCTCATGATTCCCAATGATTATGTTCATGATGATGAGAAACTTATGTCAATTAAGCTTTTCCCTTCAAATCACATTGGATTGATGATAGATTTTTATCTTCATTGACTTTGCTTGTTATCTTTAATGAAAGGAAAGTGAATATAAAGACTTTTCTTCCTTCATCATCTCTCTCTCTCTCTCTCTCTCTCTCTCTCTCTCTCTCTCTCTCTCTCTCTCTCTCTCTAATAATCTGATATTGAAAGCTTCACCTTCACAGTAATCATAATAAAAACCATGATGCTGAACATTATAAAGATAATACTAACTGGATATTTATTCTGGTTAACTGAAAAGGAAGTGAAAAGGTAATAGTAAAGAAAGAGGAAAATGAAGATGAAGATGAGACTGAGACTGAGAGGGAGAATGAGCTCAGATGAATTTCCTTTTCAAATAATCTTCTATCTCTCTCTCTCTCTCTCTAGTTCTTTCAATTGAAAGAAATACTATCGAACTCGTCTTCATCCTTCTTCTTATCCTGATCATCATCATCCATCGTCTATGAATGTAATGTAATGGAAATAAAGAGTAAGAACAACATGATAGAAACAATAAGAGAGAGAGAGAAGGAGAAAAATCAGAATCTGAGATAATCTCTTCAATCTGTGTATCTCTTACTTTCTCTGTTTAATGAATTTCTTTCCACTAAAAGTAAAGTGAAAATAAACAACAATTCATGATAAAAACTCTGGTAAAATATTATCGTTTCAATTGGAATAAAGAAGGTGAAAGAAAAATACAACAGAGAAAAAGATCAGATAACATTCAACAATCATGGAGGAAATTTCATTTTCTATTGTTATATCATTATTATTATCATATCATGTACTTTCTCAAAGTGCATGTTGGACTATTTGATTCTGTGGAGAAGAAGGAGAAAAAAACTATCATGATGGAATGGATATTATGGTGAATCAAATGATGGAATCAAAAAAGATCAATAGTATTTTGTTATTCAGTTGTTTAGAGATACGAACACATAAACATTAGAAATAGAAAAAGAAGAGAAAAAAAAATTCATTTCATCTTCTTCATTTTTTATCTTACTCAATCATCATGGTACCTGATCCATGATCATGTTATATAATATAAACTCAGAATGAGAACTTTTTTTCGGCCTTTATTCTCTGAAAATGTCTTCTGATGGACAATCTTGAGTTTCTCTATTAATTTCTATCGTTGGAATCAAATAACAAGTCAAACTGTTCCATTTACCAAGTTATTCAATTGTCATTTCTAATCAATTAATGATTGATTGAATAACTCATTTTAATTATCACAATAAAGATGAACTAAAGGAAACATAGAAAAGCTGATCAATCAATTGGAAACAATCAAAATAACAGAAACTAATTGTTGTTATTATGGGTTAACATTGGGTAATATCATTTTGTTGATAACTTAATTATCTTCATGTGCAATCAGAGAGAAATATGAAGTGAGAGAGTGAGAGTGAGAGTGAGAGATGAAGATGGAAAAGTAATATCATTATTATCATCATTTTCATCAATTGATAATCTACAATATATCATTATTAGAGTAACGGTAAATAAGCATCTTTAGGATATGTGACGTTATTATCTTTTCATCATGCTCATCATAAAAGATAATCATTATATTCACCTTGATAATATTACCTTAAACGTATTATTTGTTTACTTTTATCATTCATTTTCGTCTCATGTATCGATCATCATGATGAGAAAGAACAAAAAAAAAGACGAAAGAAAAGTTCTCTTACAAGTTCTTATCTCATGTGACACATCATTAGTGTTGGTAAGTTGATGCTCACCATCATCTTCCCTGAATCCATGAAAATTCATTCCTTTCTGAAATATGAAGCTTAAAGTGCCAAGTAAATTGCTTATATACTAGTATACGTAATGATAGTGATAAAAATTCAGATTATTCTGAATCATCAGAACTTTTTTTCTTCTTATTCTTTTCCCATTCCTATTTTTTTTTATTACTCTTCTTGTAGATAATATTTTGTGTACATATCAGTTCAATGTCAATTCACTTATATTATCAATTATAATCTGTTCCCAAGATTAGATTTAGCTTTATTTTCCTGGTTTATCCTTTTAATCAACATGATAATCTCATCATCAATATCTTTCTATGAGTAAACATCAACTTCCAATGAGTATATAAAGTTGAGTTTTCTTACCTACTCCCAGTAGGGAATCTCTCCTTTTCTGAAGAGCCTACGATTCTGATTATGTTTCTAGTTCTCTAGTTTTTTATATTCACTTATTTATCATCATTCACTTTTTTTTATCTCTTCATGGTAAAAGATTATTCTCACTTTCTCTTCTTTCTTTTTTCAGTCCTTCATCTTTATCTCTTCTCATTCACAAGTATCATCGTCATTATGAATATAAACACATATTCATGATCGTGATTGCCTGTGATTCTTGATCACCATCATCATAATAATAATGATAATCATGATGCCAATGACTCTCTCTTTCTCCCTCTTCATGAGAGATTTCAAATCACTCGGGAATTTAACTTGTATACACATTTTATTCAGAAAAAAATGTCAATCATATTCATAAATCATCTTTTTCTTTCATGGTACAAGAAAGGATAAAGATGAGAATAAGATAAAATTGAGAGAGAGAGAGAAAAAAAGATTGAAATTCATTCTCAAAGTTTTCATCCAACAATCATAGGAATTTATTTGAATAAATCAAGTCATCATGCATGATATCATGTTTACATGATGAAGAAAATGCTTCAAGATTTTTTATTTCTCTGTGATTCAATTCGAGGGCTCAATCAATTTCTGTTGAATTTTTCTTCTCGTCTTCAAATCTTATTCATGAATGTGACAAGAAACTTTTATCAGGTAGCTTGAAGATTGGTAATTTTGAAAGGATAAATTTGAATATTTTTCTTACCTGAGGTTGTATTGGTGATGAGTTTGATGGTGAAGACGATGATGGTTGTGGCAAGGAAAGAGGTGAGGGTATGGCACAAGTACAGTTATTTGCAGCAACATCTTTACAAGTCTCAATTTCACAGAAAGTTGAACCGATTGTACTTGCAATCGATTGTGATGCTAGCGAAGGGTCAAGTTTTCCTGAGAAGGCAAGATTACGCTTCGATTTATCCAGTCCCATGAAATGGGTGTAAACTCTGTCCTTGTTGATTAAATTGACAGTATTAGAACCATCTTTACCTATCGAGGCAACATATAAATCACCAGTTGAACTGAATCCAAATGTGATGATTACACTATCGGGAGGCTTTGTGGTTGAAGTTTCACCCAAAGAATGAGGTTTATTATCACAATAAGATGGACTTCCAATGACCACTAGAACCCGTCGATCAGGTGTTAATTGGAAAACCATTTGATCATCAAGGAAATAAAGTGACCCATCAATCGGATGAATAGCGATCTCAGTAGGCCAACGAAGTTTAACCTCATCAGCTGAAAGGCTTCCACCGCAAGGTATTGGTTTCCATTGGCGTTTTCGATGGTGATGATTATCACCGATAATCGTTGATATAATTCCTTTATAATTAACTATTCTAATTGCTGATCCATCGGCAAAATAAAGGCTACCATCAAGACCAAAGGCCATACCCTTAGGGAAAACTAATGATGCTTCAAGAGCCGATCCACCATCACCACAAGCGGTTGTATCACGAGGTAAACATCGAGCTCCTGAACCAACGAAAACATCATAATTTGATTCTGGATCATCAACACGATCAACTGTATGTACACGAAGTATTTGATGTCGCTCAGGGTCAGCGATATAAAGATGACCATCATAAGATGATAAATGAATATGATAATTGTAGGTTGTTGGAGTTACCGTTCCCCTTAGATTACCCGATTTATCCGAGTGTTTAAATATTGTATAAACATAACCATCGGGCTTGATTCGTCTAACCAGATTGGCATCACCAACATAAACTGACCCATCAGGACCTGAGGTCAAGGTTATTGGTGAGAGTAGTTTGTTTGTCTTTGCTTGACCCTCACAGTCTCGAGCTTTACAAATGACTGGACGAGGTTCACCTCGAGTACCGATAAGGGTTGATGCAACTCTAGACTGTTGCTTGAAAAATATTACAGATCCATCACCTTTTTGCAAGATTCCTTCATGATAATTGTATCTATGGTGAATATCAAGATTCCATGAAGCTAATTCAGATATTTCCATATCGAATCCTCTAATTTGAGTGGTCAGTGTACTCCAAATAATATGAGAACATGATTCATACTGATAACCAGCATAAACTATTGAATAGAGAAACAAATGAAAATATAAAGTCGAAAAACTTTCGTTAGAACTTTTTTTATTGAAAAAAAGACGAGTATATAAGTTATTTCGTTATCATGCTGAATAATAATAAGAAGTAATTTTTCAACTCTCGTTTCATGAACTTTGGTGGATGAAAAAAGAAAACAACTTGAGCTGAAATCGTTAAAATGACCAATGGTCAAATTATAACTCTAAGTGGAGAATCATTGAGTTAACCGATGGATTTGAACTCTAAAAATTGTAAATGTAAATATTCATTAGAATGAGTAATCACCAATGAATAATTCTGAGATTATGAAAGGAAAAATATCATCAGCATGGGTGTGGTTTTCTAGCATCATGTTTTTCAACTTTCAGCTAACAAGAAATACTTATAAATCATATTGTTGGAATCAGGTCAATAGTAAATCCCCAGGAAATGAACCATTGGAATGAATCATAAATGACTTTCTCATGTTTTCTATTATTTTTTCATGCACAGAATTTACATTCACATGGAGTGAATATTATTTTTTTCTTCTTCTTCCTTCTTATAATCTAAAAGAGACACATGAATATGATGGTCAATGGTCAAGAGAGAGTGAGAGAGAGAGAACCATTAAACTGACTATTCCACTTTCTCCATGTTCATTATCATGAAAGGTAAAAGGTGAAAAATGTAACCATCATCATTAAATATACGATAATGAAACACCGAGGAAATTACTCAGCATGATGAATCATATTCTAAGATGAATTATTCCAAGCTCTCCCTGAATGAATGAATGAGTTTAAACACCATGATAAAAGTAGCAACTTAAGATAATCATTCATTGGTTAGATTATATTTCATCATGTCATAAGTCACTGAATCAGAATCATTACTTTCAATTATTATGAATAATTAATACTCAACAATTATGATAATCTTAAATTTGTTTAACTTGGTTAATAATGTAATTAAGAGGAAAATGAAATCAACTCCTTGAAAATCATTTAATTCACTTTTCATTGATAATAAAAGTTCATTAATCGTCATTTTTGATTAGACTTTGATTCTGACTTTTTTTTTACTTCATGTTCACTATCACAGTTATGATCATAATGATAATTATCGTATCATTATGATGAAATGTAATATAATCAACGATTAATTTAATCATTATAAGTTTAATGATTCAAATGAATTACATGTACATAAGGAAAGAAAAAGTTCATTAAGAAGTAATTAAACTCGAGGGTTAATGTCATCATCAGGATAATCTTTAAGTCAGCTAATGGCCAACGCCCATTTCTCATGAAAATCTCATCAATATTTTGGAATCGATATCATGATTTAATCTAATGTTCCTCATTTACTATCGAACTTATTTCATTGAATTTGAAATTCTATTCTATTTGGAGTTAATCAAGTATGTTGCAGGGATTTAATGAATTTCAAGATATTCCCGATTAATCATTGAGCCTAATTTGGATTCTTGAAATTCCAATTATTGATAAATTGATGTAATCATTTTCTGCTGACAAGTAAATCATCATGATTTGAAATTTTTCCATGAGATATTCTCATTTTCTCCTTGATAAATAATTGAAAGTAAAAAATTCTGAGCCGATTGAAACATGAGAATCTAAATCTCTAACTTTTCCGTCTAAATATTATTTCAACAGATTTTCTTTTTCTGTTCTAGGATTTAGATTCCATGGGAAACAAAAAGTTCTGATTTCATGTTACCAATTTTTCAATCCTCAATCATGATTATCTCTCCACCCAATTCATTTGAACACACCACAGGTTGAGGTGGAAAAGTAAATTGTAAGATTAGTTGAAATGAGAATGAGAGAGAGAGAGAGAGAGAGAGAGAGAGAGAGAGAGATTCTTCTGAATTTTGTTCGTTTTTTATTCTTCTAGTTACTTCCTCAATTTCAGTTCATTTTATTTCCACAATCAGGGTAACATGAGGAAATAGAAAAAGGAAAAAAAGTGAAATCATCTCTTTTTATCCTTCCAAATAATCTCAGATTCTGTAGGTTGATATTATTATCTCAAGATGAAAACATGAATCAGAAAAAAGCAACACACCTCATGATGAACTTTTTTTTACTCCTCAGTTGATATTATTATTATTTCATGGAAAACAAGAAATATTTATATAACTTTTTTATTCAGTTGCAAGGATAAAAGATAATCCTTGATGCTGATTATTTTTACCATGTTCAGATTAATAGAGATGAAAGTTCAGTTTGATTCAGAAATTGACACAATGAATCAGTAAAATTCATTTTCTATTTATTTGTATTTAAAAAAAAGAGTTTTGATCAGAAAGGAAAAAATTGTCAAAATGGAAAAAATTTAAGACTTGAAAGAGAGAAAAAGAAAATAAAATTTCAATCTCATGGCTTCTTGTTCAGAACTTTATCTCTATCATATTTGCTTCATTTCATTCAGGGTAATGTCTTTATCTCATGATATTAAAGTTAGTTATTTCTCTGCTATGGGATAGAAGAAGATTCCAAATCACCATCACCAATCCTCATCATCATCATTTCATCTTAAATCTTTGACTTTATTCTGGTTCAAAGACATTGAAGATGTTTAATATCATCTCCCTCGCTCTCTCTCAATCTCTTTCTCACATTTCATTTCTATTCTGCTCATTTCTATACCCTGGAAATGATAATAATCAGAAAGTCAGGACAGAATCAATTCTGACTTTTTGTTTGTTGGAGAAGCAAAAAAAAAATAAATAGTTACTAAAGTAATAATCATAAAAATAACAATGAACAATGTTGGAGGAGGAGGAAGATGATGATGATGATGGTTTGGTGGTAGTCACGATGGGATCAGGAAGAGAAGATGAAAAATGATGATAGATAAGCAATCAAAAGTTATGTTTCAAGTCACAGAAAAATTGAGACATCATGTAGATATTGAACTAACCAGGGGAAAGTTCAAGATGACAATACAACTGATAACAAACTGATATTATTATTATTATAACTATAAAACCAAGAAACCAAAGGTTGGGGGATAAGAAAATGTTACTGAAACCTTGTTGAACTTTATCATGAGAAAACATGAAAGACGAGAAATGAATCAATATGAGTAAGTTTCTTTCATTCGCTCTTCTTTTCTCATGAAATGATCAAAGAATAAAAGAAACGTTCAACTTGAAATTGGAAGATAATGATTGGTATTAAACCATAGAAAATGGAGCCATATGAAATGGTGGTAAAATTTTGTTTCGAAATCAAAAATTCTGCTCAGAGAAAAACAGAAAACTCAAGAGAGAGAGAGAGAGAGAGAGAGATAAAAGAAGTCAATGTAATTTCTCATTAGCTTCCATCATGTTCTATCTCAAACATGGTGACATATTCAGTAATCTCTTTCTCTCGTAAATGAAAACTTTTGCTAGAAAAGAAAACATGATTAATATTACCACCAGCATGTGGAATCATTTCATTGTTCCAATTACAGGAAATTCTGAGAAATAACAACATATTAAGATAGAAAAGATAACACATCGGTAACAAGTCGACATTTCTATCAATACAACTGAGATTATCTTCAATTCTGATTCAAAACTAAAACCAATCATGAAAAAGGATCCATTTTATCATTTCAAATCTAAACTCAAAAAAATACACAAACTGTACTTAAAACTGATTAGAAACTGGAACGAATCATGATAAACAATAAGATCAAAAGTTCTGTGATAATCAAAAGGTAAATCAAAGCACTTATAACTGAGAAATCGGGTAAAATTGATTAAACCATGATGAAAAATTAAAGGAAATCATCATTATGATAAATATATCATGATGTTCATGATGAGTTGAAGTAAATATAAATGAAATCATCACCATGGAAAAGATATTGAGTTTTTTTCAATGAACTTTCGTTGATGATTTTTTTATTGATGAATTTGAATTATTTATTAAGAGTAATGAGAGGATAAAAAAGAGAGCAATAGATTAAATTGAATTGAGAGAGAGAGAGAGAGAGAGAGATTGAAAAAAAACTCATATATACGATTGGCTGATTGAGATTAATCAGAATCAATTCTAATGATCAGAGTGATGATGGTGATCGTTAAATCACATTGATCATCAATTGATGAGGATAAATTGTTAATGGTTTTTGTCCCCTTACCTCTTGCTGTTGTTAATCCATAGACTTTTTGTTTATATACATTTCTCTTGTTCCATGAGAAAGTGTATTTAATTGCTTTTTCAGCATCAAATACACGAGAGAAAAGGTTTCCCTCCAGAACAATTCGTAAATGAACAACTTTAAGGCTTCGAGGTATCGAATCTGGAGTTAATTGTAGGTTAATTGTGGCCAAATAACCTGGTGAAGATGATGATTGATAGACAAGTTTCAGGGAGGAACCCGGTATGGATAAGGTTTCCATAAGAACCTGAGATTCAGCTATAACTGCTGAAGATTGAGTACAACCACCTTCAGCATCAGGTTTAAGTGTTTGAAATAAAATTGGTTTCATTAAATTATATTCATGATCCCAGCAATGAGTTCTCAATGAACTTTGACTTCTATTTGATTCAATTGAACTTGAAATAATATCACCACTACCAACCACCAATGATGTTAAATCAGTGGATGAATGGTCACTCGAATAGGAATCATCTGAATGAGCAGACATTACAATTGGATTCTGAATGACGATAATCTCATTCCATGGAACCATAATTGTCCGTTTTATCGGATGAAATGGACTTCGTTGGAATTGAAGAGTCACCATGTTACCACCATTGACAAGAATATCAAACCTATTAAAGTGAATAATTCAAGAATTTATCATTATAGTTCCATAGTTATTACGATAAATGATCAAATGATCATGGTGATGGAGTAAAAAGTTCAGTATTAGTATTAATCGTTGACTCACCATCCATCAGGACGTGTCAGGGTAAATCCAAACTGTGGATCTGTTGCAACTGAGATTCGGATTCCGGTGAGTCCATTACCATCGGGAGTAATTACTTGTCCTCTTATTACAGAGACTCGACTGTTTAAGAAAATGAGGAGAAAAAAAATAATACAAAATGGATTAAGATTATAACCAGATTAAAGAATGAAAAAGAGAGAAAAAAAATATTCTAATCCAGGTTATTTGGCAGGGATAACATATAATGATGTCTAATGGTGTATTTGGGATTGGTGATAACACATAATCTACATGAAGGTTAACAAGCAAAAAAGGGATTAGTGATTAAGGAAAAAAATATGCGAAATAAACAAAATCAGGTAATGGATAATTTCTCATTAAGTTATCAAAGGATTAAGATGATTAGAAGAAGAGAAAAAAAGTTTCTTAGAAAATAATTTCTTTCTTTCTCTCTCCTTTTGGCCATCTCACTCTACTCCTTTCTCTCTCTCTCTCTTACTATCTACTCTCTCACTCACTCTCTCTCTCTACTCCCCCACTTCTTTTGGATTAATCGGATTAAGGGTAATCAGGATAATATTATTTTAAAGATAATAAATGATATTCAACAAGGAGTATATACAAAAAAACAATACGATAAGATTAACAGATGATTAATGTAATCATGAAAGTTTCTTGTTCGGTAATAATAATGACAATACGATTAGAATGGTGAATTTTAGGTTCATGATTAAAAAGGAAATAAAGGAGAACCTGCATTTAGGGCTGATTTTTGCCTATTGATGAAAATTTTTTTTGAAGACTTTTTTAGATAGAGAATCAAAAACTGAATGCAATGGTTTGTGTTAGAACTCTATATTGATAACAGTTTTCGAGAAAATCGCGAAAACTGATAAAATGTTCAAAGCCATTTACAGCGTCAAGCAGAGGTCATAAAATAAAATTCAAGTATATTCGGAATCCTCTCATCATGATCTTTTAAAATATCATATTGACTTGGACAAAATAATTACTCTAAAATACTACCTTCGTGATAAATATAACTTTAGATACAAAATGGCTAATAACTTTTGAGAATGTTACGACAACCTACATTACTTTTTCTAATGAAGAATGATGTGAACTTTCAAAAATCAATTTGATTATCTCTCGGTTTTGTTCATAATCCTGAAAACTATTGATAACTAATAAAATGAGGTTAATTCTTTCGGATGCCTTACGACAACCTACATTACTTTTTCTAATGAAGAATGATGAACTTTCAAAAATAAGATCAATTTGATTATCTCTCGGTTTTGTTCATAATCCTGGAAAAACTTATAAAAATAAAGTTCAACCGGCATTGAGTATGTAAACGACATTAGGACAAACGTGATTATCATTTTTTCAGGTGACCATTAATCGTACTAAGTCCATGCGTACACAAAATCGAATAAACAATCCGCACTATACCACCTACATTTCATAGTTTAGCAGTAACAAGAAAATTCGCTAGCTAAAAGTAATCACTCGTTTATTCGATTTTGTGTACGCATGGTCTTAGTACGATTAATGGTCACCTGAAAAAATGATAATCACGTTTGTCCTAATGTCGTTTACATACTCAATGCCGGTTGAACTTTATTTTTATAAGTTTTTCCAGGATTATGAACAAAACCGGAGAGATAATCAAATTCTGGTCTTATTTTTGGAAAGTTCACATCATTCTTCATTAGAAAAAAGTAAAGTAGGGTTGTCGTAAGGGGCATCCGAAAGAATTAACCTCATTTTTATTAGTTATCAATAGTTTTTCCAGGATTATGAACAAAACCGGAGAGATAATCAAATTCTGATCTTATTTTTGGAAAGTTCACATCATTCTTCATTAGAAAAAAGTAGTGTAGGGTTGTCGTAAGGGGCATCCGAAAGAATTAACTTCCGTTTCAATAGTTATTAATAGTTTTTCCAGGATTATGAACAAAACCGGAGAGATAATCAAATTCTGATCTTATTTTTGGAAAGTTCACATCATTCTTCATTAGAAAAAAGTAATGTAGGGTTGTCGTAAGGGGCATTCTCAAAAGTTATTAGCCATTTTGTATCTAAAGTTATATTTATCACGAAGGTAGTATTTTAGAGTAATTATTTTGTCCAAGTCAATATGATATTTTAAAAGATCATGATGAGAGGATTCCGAATATACTTGAATTTTTATTTTATGACCTCTGCTTGACGCTGTAAAATGGCTTTGAACATTTTATCAGTTTTTCGCGATTTTCTCGAAAACTGTTATCAATATAGAGTTCTAACACAAACCATTGCATTCAGTTTTTGATTCTCTATCTAAAAAAGTCTTCAAAAAAAATTTCTATTTTTCAGGCAGAATTGCAGGTTCTCCTTTAATTAATGAGAAAAGAATCAGAATTTTTTGGAGAAAAAAAATATTGAGAATTAATGTTTTTCCTTTACTTTATATCAAATGAAGAAAAAAAATTTCCAATAAATTTTAGGAATCGATAAGTTAGAAGGAAGAGAAAATGAGATCAATTTCATGATCAGAATTTTCTTTGCCTACTCTGAATTCTGGTCATTTTTTGATTGATAATGATTGGTGAATTTTTTACTATTTCACCAAGATTCAAATTGAGATAAAGCTCTGTGAACATGGATCATGAAAATATTGAGAAATAAAAAACTTGAATAGATGAAAATATTGAAAGTTGAGAGAAAATGTTGAGTTTTATTCAGCAAATTGTTTCAAAAATAAGAAAATGATTTACGATCAATTTGTTTGAGAAAAGAATAATTTTCCTTTACAGAACTTTCCATTCGTTTCTCCACCATGAACCAACAGAATGGAATAGAAGAAAAGACGAAAAAAAGAATATGAAAATACTCTAAGGTTTTCTGGCTCTCTTTCTCTCCTTAAATTCTGAATTACTCATGGAACTTATATCATGATAATGACTACTACTACTATCATGTCAAAAAGGAAGAAGAAGAAAAAAATTCCAATATAAATTGACCTTTTCATGAGATGAGAAAAAATGACCAACACATTCAAGACAAGAATAACAATTGAATAGGAAAAGATATGATATCATGATAGAATCAAGAATATACGATAATAAAGATGAAGATAATCTTTCTCCTTTTTCTTTCTTTTTTTCTTCATCATCAGCATCATTTTATCTTCCATTTTATAAACTGTACATTTACACAGATACAGAATAAAATGGATTACTATTAAACTTTGTTTCTTTTCCTTTTCCTTTTTATCTTTATCCTCTTCTCATCATTTTCATTGTTTCCATTGTTTTCTGGTTAGTTTTTCTTTTCCTTAAAAGGTAGACTGACATTGAGTATATTTCAGGAACAAGGTGAAAAATACTCTAATGAAAATGATGAGCAAAGAGAAAAGGAGGAAAAGTGTTTGACCAGAAAATGAAATCATCTGAATACAAACGTAGTATTTACAATGGTAGAAAAAAACAACAACAATAATAATAAAAGATTATATTGGAACCAGAATTTGCTGAATTTACCATTTCAACTTTTCCATTGTTATTGTTGGTCTATTAGAACTTTTCTCTCTCTCTCTCTGCATTGATCATCACATTCTTTTTGCTTCATCTTCATCATTGTTCTCACATCTGATCCATTTTCCTTCTCACTTTCTCTCTCTCTCTCTCACATTTCTCCATCTTCTCACTCACAGAATCCTCATCATCTTCATTTGATCCTCCTGAATTTTTGCAACACCAGCAGCAACAAATTCAGATTCTATTGTTTATTTGCTCGGTCAACCACAAAAGTCATTTCTAAATATGAATTATATATGATAACTCACAGAATTTGCAATAATATTGTTACTTTTAAACCAGATTAGAGTGAGAAGAGAAAAACTCTCTCATTTATCATAAATGACATTAAACTTTTGGTTTCGAAAAAGAATTTACAAAATTCTGACTAAGCAAATTCTCAATATAATAAAGGAATACAATGTTATGGTCTCAATATAATCCACAAAGAAAACTATTATAATAATCAGAGAAAAAGTTTTCAAACTTTTCCATAACCAATTGATGAAAAGATGATCATCATTATCATGATGAACTTGCAAATTGTTTTTTGAACAACATTTCACTTAGAATATGCTACTAATGAACTACCATATGATAGCAGAAAAATGAGATACATCAAATTAAGAGAATATTTCATTGGAGAATTTGGAGCAAAAATATTCCAAGAAAAAAATAGAAAGAGAGAGAGAAAAAAAAGTTCTAATGGAGAAATAATTACAATACTCGAAGAGTAGATTAAAAAAAGCAAGAGATATTCATCTAATATCATTATGCAAATGGATAAATGATTATGTTAATTCAGAAAAGGTGGAAAAGTGGGAAAAGTTATTGAATAAATTGCAAATCTCGAGAGTCTTTCATGAGAAACTGTTTAGCTCAAGAGAGATAATATTTAATATAATATAACAAGAAAATCAGTTATCACATCAATTGTATAGCATTTAATCATCTTTAAATCTGATGGACAATTAAATCTTTATTTTATCATGGAGGAAATCAATTCACTTCAACAGAATTGGTGTTAACAATCAGATATCTGATTGAAATGTTTTACCAATTAAAAGTGAAAACACTTTCATAGGCAATTCCATTCAAATCCTAATCCATCTTGATCATGATTATGTATTTGCATACAAAAACTTACTAATCACCCTGAATAAGATGTGATCATATTATCAAATAATTCATGGTTATATTATAATAGTTTATACTTTCATTGAATTGTTAATAATATAATTAGAAAATAATATGATTATCAAAGTGTATGATAGGGATATTGATAAGTTTAATACTAATAGTTGGTGATATTATTATTATTATTGGACTGATAGCAATTTGAGCAACGTGCAGAGTTTGTTTACTTTTTTTACCAGCGACAAATTGAATTGATTTTATCGATGATTATTATTAATATGAACAAGGGAGCGAGCGATCAACATGATCGCTAAGCTTATACAATATTGTTAGCTTCGTATATGCAAGGCTAAGCCCCACCATTTGCTATCTAAACTTCACGAATGCGTTCCTGGTTCCCATACGATCGTATGTCGCAGACCA